TCGCGGAGCAGCGTCCGCAGCGTCGGAAGCGCAGAGGGAAATGGGGCGGACGGGGCTTGGCCGCTGATCAGACAGCAAGGCAAACTCGACGTGAGAAGGATGTGCCAAGCTCAAGACGATGGCCCTCCCCGTACCTGGTAAGAATGCGTGTTACTTGAGAGATGCGGGATATGGCGAGGTGTGCTGTTGGAGCGTGAGTCATGGTACGCCGGGGTAACCTAACGTGAAGCCCGAGACACACCACTGAGAATGTCTTGGCTTGTCATGTCAATGGCTCTGTGAAAGCACACTGTCCGACAGTTGGTCTCGATGGGAGGGTGGGAATGACGCAGTCCGCCGCACCTTGCATCGGAGCGGCCTCTTCTGCCAGCCTAGGGTATCTCGCTGTCACCATGGTTGAGCAGAGCGCATGGGCCCAAGACGCACACTTTGGTGCGGGACGTGTCTATCCCGCCGTCCTTGTGCAGGATGCCCAGGACGACGCCGTCGGCGCGAGCTTCCTTGAAGGCCTTGATATCCTCTCGCATGATGCCGAACTCTGCGTCGGTGTATAGAAAATCCCCAGTGCGGGGTCGGACCATTACCTGCGGCGCCACACTTCAATGACACGCTCGAGTACCGCACGTTGGGGCGGGGCGGGGCGTACCATAATAGGCATGCCATCCGGCGTTGCCTCGCGCACGGCCTTGAATAGTCCGAGGCTGGGAGTAGTGCCTCCTCCAAGCCCGAGATTGCCGCAGAGCTCGAGACGATCTGCCCCTCCTCGTATGGCCCTGCGCTGCTGGGTGAGCTGATGTACCGGCGGTCATTCAATGGCGAGAGGGACGCACGCGAGAGCCGATTCGACGGAATCGATGCAGACCTCGATGGTGATACGCGTCGTGGACGGGGGTGTGCTGGGCTGGGGAGGTCCATCGACAGGTCGCGCATGGGATGAGTCGTGCTCACGATGTCTCGACAGGCGCTACCTCATTCTTGATGCACATCGCGCCAGGGGGTGGTGGGAGAGGACAAGAGACGAACGGGAGGAGCGGGATGTCAGTGGCGTCGGCGGCAGGCGCGTACACGTGACCGTGTCAGCATCAAATCGCGCGCCTGGGGAGCGGGAGAGATCGCATCGGCGATGGCTTTCGGGTGAACAGACGTCGGACGCGGGTTGCTGGCTGCCCCAGTTGCGTTCCCACCAGTCTCCCGCCGTTTTCTGGTCGCCATGCGCCTTACGTCGCCCCTCTCTCTCCTGCCACCACCATGCACGCCCCCGAGCGTCCGCCAGCCCGCGCGCCCCCGCCTGCGCGCATATGGTGGTCCAACGGCATCTTCTTCGTCGGCACTCATCTCGCGGCCGTCGTAGCCGTCTTCTTACGGCCTCCGTCCGAGGTTCCTTGGCAGACCCTGCTGTTCATGGTCGTTCTGTGGCAGGCAGCCTCGATGGGGTGAGTTCTTTCTCTCTTGGGCTCGCAGGACCGCTCCCGACCTGCGCAACACGCATCGCAGTATCACTGTTGGTTACCACCGACTGTACTCGCACCGCGCCTTCCGGGCAGCATGGCCTGTGCGGATGGCCGTCGCGCTCCTGGGGGCAAGCGCGTTCCAGGGATCTATCAAGGTGCGCATGCTGTTTATGTGATGTGGAGTGCCGTGCGTGACGGACGCTTGCCGCTCCTACCGTAGTGGTGGTATGCGTATTTCCTTACTCGCAGTATCCCTTTATGCTGAGTTCAACAGGTCTCTCCGGCATAGACTGCACCACGTATGTGCATCTTTCTCTCCAGAGAATATACGCTGACAAGTTTCTGCCGCGCAGAGGTTTACGGATGACCCTACCCACGATCCGTGCGTGGTCGCGTTCTCGGTTGCCCATAGGTGCTCACCGCTAGAATCGTCACAGTTACGCTGCAACGAAGGGCTTGCTGTGGAGCCATGTAGGATGGATATTTTACAAGTCCCGATATGAACGGCTGGAATCGATCGACCAAGATGACCTAGAAGGCGACATAGGTAGGTGCATCTGTGCCAAATTGGCGAACGTGCGGCGAGCTGACTCAAACTCATGTCATAGTCGTACGTATGCAACACAAATATTACAGTAAGCTTCTGCCAAGCCTCGCGGGACTGCCTGTGTTAACTGCCACGGCAGTTCCGCTCGCCCTCATGATGGGGTTCGGTTTACCTATAATCGCCGGTTCACTATGGAATGATCCGATGGGGTCCTTCGTGTATGCTGGCCTTGTGGCTAGACTGCTGAGTACGTCGCGGGAGGCACGCTCCGGCTCTGTGTAAACTCACCTGTCATAGTTTGGCACTGTACATTCCTGGTGAACTCGTGAGTGCCTCCACCGGTCGGCGTGCCATGAATTCCCTACGAGCCGTCACGTCCAGACTCGCCCATTGGGATGGGCTCCAACCCTATTCGGATGACAACACGTCGAAGTCCAATCTGGTGAGACACCGTTCACGATCCCTTGCCACCAATCTGGAGTGCTTAGCATGATCCCAGGTTCTTGCGCTGCTGACATGCGGAGAAGGGAACCACAACTTCGTACGTACCTATCTCGTCCTTGAGGAGTGCGCTTCTCACGCGGTTTGACTGGTACTGCAGCACGTACGCTTCAATTGGTGTTCTTAGTCGTGGTTCGCGCTCGTCAGGCTTACGTGCGTGTCCATCGCATCTTCCAGCACAGTTTCCCCCATGACTTCCGCTCGGGACCCTCGCCGCTCGACTGGGACCCCTCAAAATGGGCAATTATCCTTCTGCGCTCGCTCGGCCTCGCATCGGGCCTCCGCCGTGCTCGCATGGAGGAAATACGCGCAGCGCGCGAGTACATGCTTCGTAAGAAGATCACCCACATTCACGTTCACGCGGACGGCACGCACGACCTATACATGAGCGGGAGCGAGGAAGAGGACGACGCGTGGGGCGGCCCGGTGTGGACGGTGGCCGAGCTCGCCGCCCACGCGCAGGAGCAGGGCCGCTGTATCCTCCTGCTCGACGGGTACGCGGTCGACGCGTCCGAGTACCTCGCGGAACACGTACGTCCCCCCCTCCTCTCCTCCGCGCCTCGGTGCCGCAGGGGTTCGGCGACTCACACAGAGAACTCCGGACAGCCGGGCGGCGCGCTGCTTCTGCGCCGATACGCGATCGGGGCCAGGACGAGCAAGGACGGGGCAGACGCGGATGCAACCTCCACGGGAAAGGCCGTGCGCGACGCGAACTGGGCGTTCCACGGAGGCATCAACAAGCACTCGCAGGCAGCACAGCGGCGCATGCGCCAGCTGCGCGTGGCCAGGGTGCAGTAGGGAGCCAGCGACCGACAAACTCGCGTCGGGTCCGCCGCCGGAGGTGCTCAATGGGGTGGCTGAAGATCTGATGCGCATCTGCTCAGCGCAGGGGCGCCGAGGGGGTGCGATGGACGCGGGGCGGCCAGACAGCATCTGTCATGTAGGGTAGGTAGACCGGGCAGGGGACTAGGGCGGAAGCATTTGTGCAGATCTCACGTCGATGGAATTCCTCCGTCGCCGCTCGCGAGAAGCCGCGCTCGGGTCGCCCGCGGTGGCGAGGTCGAGGTTCGGTTGAAGACGGTGAGAGGTTAACGGGGCCTGCCGGTATGCGACTCGTCGGTGGAATGACAGGAAGCTCGTAGGGCGATCCGCACAGTGTAGTCGGGGTAGGAGCCGCACACCTTTCATGCCAGCTCCCGACCATCCCTCAAAAAATGAAAAAGAGGTCGTCCTCGCAAAGAGATGATGCTTAGATCTGGAGAAACAATATACAAAATGACTTCTACTGACTCGACCATCCAACACACGCCCCGAACCCAACGTTCAAGCGTTCCCGCGTCATCCCGTCAGCCGCTGTCTGATCGCCCCGCGGATGTAGTGCTCCGGGAAGTGCACGCGCGCGCTCACGCGGATGGCCTGGCGGAGGTCAGCGATGCGAACAACCTCCGGCAAACCGAGCCGGGCGCCTTCCTCGAGGGTGAGGGACGGCTCGCGGATACAGAGCTCATAGTAGGCGTCCTCGAGCCACTCAGGGACGTCGTACTGGCGCGAGAGGAGGAGGCGGTCGATGGGTGGGGCGAGTACTGCGAGGCGCTTGACTGCGAGCGCGTGGTGCGCTTCGAACTCGTATATGTGCGTGAGGCGCAGGACGGACGTCCACTGCTCCAGCGTGGAGAGGTCTCCAGAGACCACGTCCCTGGAAAGTGGCAAGGGCGGTCAGTGCCGTGAGGATGGTCAGGCAGGCGGCGCTGGGCGGCCCTTGGATGGCGCACGACGCCAGTGTCATACAAGGTTTGGGAGGGCGCTGTGCCAAGAAGCCGCGACGGCGTTCCAACGAGACGCCTCTCGGCTGAGGAGGGGATTCGCGAGGACGCTGACAGCCCGCCGGGGTTCATTCAGCGGTCCGACGCTAGCGTCCCGTGAATTCACGGGAGATGCATGGCTCGCATCTGGCCGGTCACTGGCGCCCCCTTCCGCGAGATGGGGGCTCGCATCGCTGCGCAAAGAGGGCGAGATCGTTTCAGATACACGCCCCGACGCTCACCTGGGATAGAAGAGCGAGAGGAGCCGCTCGAAGTCGGCCGCGCTAACGTCGTGCAGCGCGATGGGCTGCTCATCCGACCGACCGTCCACCGGGGCATCACCCGGGTTCAAGGTGAACATGGATGCGAATATGGGCGAGTTCTGCTTCAGGAAGTACTCGTGTACCTTGAAGAGCGTGTCCTCGACCTGCGTCGTGCCCGCGCCAAGGGGGACCTTTCAGTGCGTGTTCCGTTCGCGAGAGGCGTCCGAGAGTACAAGCAGTCACATACCAGGAATATGGCCGTACCGCCTTCGTGCTCGAGATACAGGTGCGGGTGGCGTTTGGGGTGAGGTACCGCGTTGGCTTCGGTCCCGCCTCTGGTGTACAGTGCCTGTCGATGTTAGACTCCCGAATCCGTCATGGAACAATGCGGGCGGCGATGCTGACCCAAATGCACGCGCACCGGCCTCCATTACCGCGATCGAGCAAGATGACTGTTGAGTGTCTAGCGAGATGAACTCGAAATGGCGGATGCTGGGTCCTCGCGGACTCCGAGCGAGCTGCGGTTGCTCATGGCTTGCAGCGCCGCGGCAGCCGGCAAGGGCAGCAGCCACGAGGACTGGATAAATCCGGGCGCAGGCGTCTAGCTATAGCGCCTGCATCGCCTCCGATTGGTTCGAACATACTACCCTTGGCCGCTGCCTTCGCCCTCGACCACGGCTCCTTGCACGCTCGCCACTGCCGCTCCATCTCCGACTCTGCGCGCGGGCCCGAAATACCCAAAGCTATGGTATGCGTGTCCACCATGAGGCCTGTACACGCTATGGAACGGTCAACAGATTTCCAAGGACCATTCCTTGCTATATCCTCCGAAGATCCCAATGTCAGGGCCCTGATGGACGCTCACGGAAGACAAGGTTGGACGCTGGAGCAGGAAATTTCCGTTCCTACCTCCGACCTGATGAACTCTGAACCTGGAAGGCTGTAAGCCGCACAAAGAGAGGTCTTCAGTCTGTGAGAGAACGACTATGATTGCATAGTACTGTACCTGTAAGCCG